GGATACGATGCTGGATGGCGAGTCGATAAACACGTACGGCTCCTTGCCGATACCACGGGTAATAAGCGTCTCGACATCGTTGGGTTCGGAGAAACAGGCGTTTGGATCTCACGGAATAACGATGACAACACTTTCCAGCAGCCCAGGATGGTGCTCAGCAACTTCGCGTATGCAGAAGCCGGGGGTGGTTGGCGCATTGAGCAACATCTTCGGTTTGTGGCAGATATCAGAAATACTGGGCGCGCCGACATTGTGGGATTCGGTAATAATGGTGTTTTGGTGTCGCTGAATAAAGGGGACGGAGAATTCACACCTCCCAAACTTGTGCTGGGAAACTTTGGGTACCGCGCTGCCAGTGGAGGCTGGAGGATGGACAAGCACCTGCGCTTCCTCGCTGATATCAACGGCAACGGACTCCTTGACATCGTCGGATTCGGAGACCAGTATGTTTATGTTACGTATAACAACGGGGACGGCACTTTCCAACCACCTAAACCCGTCCTCGCCGACTTTTGCTACGACAATGGCTGGCGCGTCCCTGAGCATCCACGCTTCGTTGCGGACATGACAGGAGACGGCAAGCTCGATTTAGTTGGCTTTGCAGACGAAGGGGTTTTTGTCGCGTTCAACAATGGGGATGAAACGTTCCAAAGTGCCCGTAAAGTTTCGAATGACTTGTCACGAAAATCGGGAGGTTGGGTCGTTGAAAAATATCCACGAGTTATTGCCGATCTGACGGGCAACGGCTGTGGAGATATCATTGGCTTCGGCGAAGCAGGAGTATGGGTCGCGATCAACAACGGCAATGGTACATTCCAGGGTAGCAAGCTTGCATTCTCAGGCTTTGCTTTCAACGCAGGTTGGACGGTAGAGAACCATCCTCGTTTCCTTGTTGATTTGACGGGCACCGGACAGGCAGACATTGTCGGATTCGGGAACGGAGAAGTTTATGTCGCTTATAATGACGGGAAAGGAGGCTTCATGCCACATATGTCTAAGCTAATCGATGGCTTTGGAATTGCGGGAGGACAATGGTCATCAGACAAGACCGTACGATATGTTGCAAACATCTATGGCTGAACGGTGCTCGCACATACTCATGTGAACCGTACAAATCTATGAAATTCACCTGTATCGTGGCCGGTCTCCTCGGAGAAATCAGTAGGTGTTGGGGTTTGCCCCTACGAGGATTCTGAAAATCGTGGAATGCTTACAGTGAGGTGCCATCGAAACAAGCGAACTCGGGCTTTCACGAGGGTGAAGACCACAAGGTAGGCGAGTAGGTACGAATGGAGATCGAGCACAATTATTGTCCAGGAGAAGTTTGTGAACTTTTCCAGCAAGTTTATATCACTTCTGTCTACAGGAATATCTAATTTATTCCTCGAAAGTTCAAAAACCATCCATTGCTGCTATTAGTAGTACGGTCGATGGCATGGTTTTCGGTATTTCCACCTCCGTTACATTGATGCAATGTCCACTACAACATATCTGACATCGATAAAATGAATGCACTCACATATCGAGTGCGTTGTGCGAACCAAACTTCCAACGTCTGTCCGTTGATTCCTTCATGACCTTCTGTCGGATAAGTCTCAAAAAACAGATTGAAAGTTATCAAACATCTACGAAGCTGATTGTAGATGCCAGCGACTGACTTGAGCCAATTTGTGAATATCAGCTCACATATCTGACATTAACCTTGCATTAACCTCGAGTCAGCTTCGAAGATCTTGATCACTTTTTTGAGGTTTGTCCGACATCGATCCGTTGGCATGATTATTCTGAGTAAGTGACGCGTGCGCAGTTGTGGAAGTAAAGGAAATTGCATCCTGCTTGGTCCTGGTGGGCCCACCTTCTAGTCAATCATTTCTGAAAGAACGCGGGCCTGAGCTGTGTCACGAAAAAAACCTGAATGTATGTCATCATTTATGGAAATAACTTGTGACGTATAGCAGGAACATACCGAGCAGAAGTGGACAATCATCAGATTTGTAGCTATCCGACAGTAAAAGGTACGCGGCGGGCACTGTTCGTTCAAAGTCCCTGTGCAAGTACAATGTGAGGGGATCATAGAATGGTCATAAGGACCGAGCTGTACTGCCTTCAGTTGACAATAAAAACTATTATGTTTTGTTTCCTACTCTTGGGTGTGATCAGTTGGCAAGGCAGAGGTTTGGATCAGCTGCGAGACAGAATGACGAAGAAAAGAGCCTGTACTTCTCCCTCAAGTGCTTGACTTACTTGCAAATGGGCTATGGTGGAGGCAGTCCTCGAGGTTCGTATCGATAAACTTGTATCCAGTGAGAACGCGATTGAGGTTGATCTGTGGAGGCTTGAATGTTCATTTGGCCCGTGGTTCTCCATGAGATTTCGATGTTATCCTTTGTTCAGGGAACAAGAGAAACTATGGAATGTTGAGTCGATTCATCGCAGTATTACACAAGGTCATCGGAGCTGTACATGCCCTCAGACAACAAGACAGGCACCCCTCAGATCATTCTGCACGCCGCCCTGTTTCCAAGTTAGCGACACATCCAAAAAGTCTAAAGACGAAATCTCCCACCCTTAACCCGCCCCTGTTCTCCTCTCAATGAACCCTCTGATATTCGCATGCCCATCCAAGCTTCCGAAGAAACACCGCTTCACCGGGTTCTCCCACAACACGACGCCCAGCTCTTTAGCATAGTTCAGGACGAAATCGTAGTCCGCTTGAGAGGCGAAAGAAGTGTATAGGTACCCTGTGGATGGCTAGCGTTAGATGTTTGTTTTGAGGCAAGGGTGGAAGAGGAGTGGAGAAGGAGAGACAGAGACAGAGCGAGAGAGCAAAAGGAAGACGGAGAGGGAAAGAAAGAGTGCGACGAAGAGGAAGAGTGCGACAAAGAGGAAGAGTGCGACGAAGAGGAAGAGGGTAAGGGATACGGATGTGGTGTCAGAGGGTGGAGATGTGAGAGGGGAGGGAGAGAGGGGGGAAATGGAGTGTAAGAGGAAGACCCATACCTTCTTGTGATTTCAGCCGGTTTTTCTCAAGTTCCCAGAGACGAATTTGGTCTTGAACCGTTACGGGGAGTAATGGATTCTAATTCACATTAGGAAAAGAAAAACAGGGGGACACAACTTCTCAATCTTACATTTTTACGCATTTGAGGATGAGCATGGGACATCAGGTAACTAATGATCTAGCGATGACGTCAGATTTTCGAACGGGAGAGACGGGCCTAATGAGAGAAACCTACTTGATCCGCCGAGATCCCATTCAGCAGCGCCTTCTTTACACTATCTCGGGTGATGGCGCCCACCACGAGGTTTGGGAACCGGTATTTGAGGGAGACGAATAGGTTGAGGATAGCAGTCTGCAGAGGGTTATCTACCAAACGAAGGGAGCTCAAGAGACGGACGGACAGGGTTTGTATATGAAAGATGCCTACCTGTATAGGCGTATATCCGGTAATTCGTCTCGAGCACGATGAATCCTTCTTGCGGGCCGGAGCGGTTACCGATTGAAGAAGGTAGAGGCGGGGATGAGGATGTTAATGTTGTGGCAAGGCGGGTGGGGTGGAAACCTTTTGAAGATGGCTATCCATACTGTTTGATGAGAGTGAGAATAGTACGAGGGATGTGGGACAAACCTTGCGCCGCCATATTAAGCCGTAGTCTACCAGATCTTCAAGCATGGCCGTTTGAGTTTTACTGAGACGCTCTGTGGAGTATTCCTGAGTCACCAAGTCAGCGGGAAACGACCAAAAAGGTGTTAAAACTAACTCTGCCAAGCTCCATGGTCGATAGCATGAAGAGGAACCCTAAAACATCGACCAAGTCCATCTGTCGCTCCTTAAGAAAAAGTTAGGTTGACCCAGATCGTGGCAGCCAACACCGACCTCAGTAAGGTGTAGATACTGCAGCAACAACTCCCAAAGCTGCTCATGAGGCGAATGAAGGAGGAATTGGAACCCCGCAGACGTTATCTGCAAAGGGCCTTGTCTAGAGATACTTAGAAATCATCCAAATGGGGTAGTCGTTATACCTGACTTACCCAACAGTCGTCATGAGACCACTTCGCTGGAGTAAGAATAATACACGGACAGAGGGCTTGGTTGGGTTTTGTCCTGATCCGGAGGAAACCATGTAGTGCAGTATCGTCTGGATGAGATATTCACAACTGAGAGAAGTCATAGAAATGAATAGGGCGCACCTCCCATCTTTCAAGCGCAAAAACATCAAGAAATTCGATGTCAACGTCACTTCGTTTGTCGTCTTTCTCTGAAGGAACACCAAAACTCCCACTAGTGCCCCTACATCAGGAGAGCGTCAGTCCGGTGTCAAATTTAATGGCATTCAAATTATGCATACGCACCCCCCAGTTATAGCTTGCCGAAAACTCGTTTTAAAAGTCGGAACCACCGCCAACTTGATCGCGGAATTCGGGAAGATGTGAAGCTTTGTGAGAGTGGCAAGAGCTTCCGTGTATACCCTTTTGAGGATTCAAAGGTCGAACAAGGAGTGAAGACGGAGTTGAAGTACTTACGGTTTCCCTTCCCGTGTAACCCATGCTTGCATGGTTGAAGCTGGGATGGCCGATTCCAGCCAGAGGAGGTTCATGATGAGTTGCCTTGATATAGGGTCAAGCAGCCTGTAGATAAGGTCAGAGTGGCCTTGCAACTGCCAATTGCGTAGCTGTCCACCGAAATATTGAGAGGCATGACGAAGGCTTGGAGTATAGTTTCGTTAACGTGTTCTGGGACTGGGATTGAAGGAAAGGCAGCAGCGCATGGGCTTTTCGTTGGTGCACATTTCCATCTGCGTAAACGTAGGGTCGAGCAGACGGCATGCTACCTCATTCAAAGGTGAGGTTAGAAAGCGATTGAAGGCAAGCAAATTTGCGCTCACCTCTATGAGTTCTGATAATACTGCCACCCTACCCAATTCGCAATCACAAAGTACGACCCGGTCGGCACAAGCAGGAGAATGAAGTACTTGTAGTGGGTATCCTGCGCAAGGGCGTCGAGAACCTGTTGAACACGGCCAGCCAGCCAAAATATTAGAACTTTCCCCCGAGTGGTATAGAGACAACACGTTACTCGTATTCCAGATAACGGCAAGAACGCGCTGAATAGAACAGCGTAGCTCCCGAGGACGAAGAAGACGATGGAAGTGAAGATGAGGAAGTGACCTAAATGTGGTCCGAACATGACAGTCACGACTTGCCTTTCATCCACCATCACAACCGCCCTTTGCGGTTTCGGTGTGATAACGAGCTTAACACACCAAGAACTATCCTCACTTTGGCCCTAGTAGCAAGGAAAACAGGTAAACTTATGAGCAACGGCCGAAACATAGGTCTGTCAGTTCTTTTTGCCCTCTTTTCGCTCCTCAAACAAAACACCTCCTCCGGCAGACCTAAAAGACGAAGTTCCTGACTCCGGTGGTCCCAGGCTAACCTCTTAACTCGAAAGCCACTTATTTAATGCGTTGTCGATTCCGACTTCAAATGGCAAAAATTGGCGGAGGAAAAATCACCGTGCTTTACTTTCTCCCTCACCCCAACCAACTTACGCTCAACCTTTCACTTGTTGTGCTGGCGAACAGGCTTTCTTTCCCGTTACCTTCTCGTGGACAAATTTGCAAGCCACTGAATCCGCAGAGGCTCCCAGTAATCGTCTAGCACGAGGATAGGGTATGATACCTACATGTTGCTCAAACGTACATTTTATAATTGTGGACACTGCTTAGAAAGTCAAAGGTCGTTTGGACGACCCCGCCTCTTACTTTTGACGTCTTGACCGAGACTGTGTCTTCACAATAAGGACGGCTGTGATCTCTCGAGGTTGTAACGTTCCGCGTCCGTTGGAGCCTTCCTCTTGCATGCTGTCAGTGTTCCACTTCATTCCTAACTCTTCCGTTAACTTACGCGACGTTTTGGTGTAGAAAACTGAAAAAATTCTGGCGAAAGCTTTGTTCGAACATCAACAAGAGAAGGACGTGGTGCTGATGAAATTTGTATGGTATGAAGTCTTTCCCTTCTGTAGGTTTTGGCACAGTGGGTTTGACTTGTTTGGCGTTCGTAGAGCCTGAACCTGGCGGAACGGGCGAAGTAGCGGAACTTTTCTTGAATAAGAGGGACGAAGGTATGTGCGTTTTTTTGGTCATGTAAGGCACTTTCTCCTAATTTGGAAATACGTAGAAATTCAGAGGAAGTTCCAACGTATTTGATTCGTGCCACCTCGTGGATGATGAGCCCTGTGGTCATTCAAGAATCGTACGTGAACTGGTACCCCCCCTTCTCTTTCTATTTGCTGATACCATGCAGGCTCACAACTGCCTATTGTGGATCGTTCCCCGCGTTGCATCTTCACCTTGGACTCTATCAGCGGCGTCGCTACTTTTGCTCAAAGACACGCCAGAAATATCTGCCCATCTTCTGCAGAAAACGATCACGTCACCATCTCTGTGACAACATGAGAGCTAATGACCCCCATGCCAGTGCGAAAAGGCAACGGCATCAACCTTCCATCGTCGGAGTCGTCTCTGCTTCTTCCATCGATCCCTTTCATTGCAGCAGCCATCTTTCTTGCGACGCTTCCAACCCCCTAGCTTCAGACGTATAATTTGGCTTGCTCACCCGCCATCATTAGAGTTTTCCAACGGCGTATGCATGGCTCGCTCGTGAGCCAACTACGTTCACCCCTGCCCAGGCTCCCAGAGCGGATCACTACAGGGGGTTCGGGACAATTGTTACCCCCGGTACAAAGACGACAATGCATGGCATTGATGAACTCCCGGAGCTGCTGATGCTGCTACACGTTATGCTCATGGACGGAAGCTTTTGCACCAATCCAACATTCTCAGAGATTATCTGGCTGCTTGGCCACGCATATCAAATTGAAACCACAGTTGCATTGCCATTCATAACAGCTAGCCATTACGTAGAAATCTCATCGACTTCTCTGTAGAAGAGCAATTGGGCGTTCCTTTCAATGAATTCCTGAAAAGCAGAGCTATCAACGGATGCACAAAAGAATTTCCTGTGATCGCCACCTACTTGAGGACAGGATTGTTC